CTACCGCACATGATCGACACCTTAGAGGATTGTTCGTTTCGGGCGGTGACTCGCTGGTTGAAGATACCTGGTTATGGGAAAACCCTGGTTATGGAAAACCCTGGTTATGGGAAAACCTGGTTATGGTTTCATTGCCGGATTTCGCCATCCAGGGAAGAGCAAAGAGCAAAGAGGAATGACCAACGCATCGTCGGAGAGAAAACATGACTATACTTACGGGACTAATATTTTTTTTTTTTTTGCAGTTGCGCGTCCAGAATCACTAGCAATCAATCAACGGGCGCCGTGTTCCACGATTGAGCCCACTGTTCCCGTCAACACTCGAGAACGACGAGAAGCAAAAGATAACTCTGGATTATCTCTAGTGCGACCTGCACTCCAGAGTGTTATGTTGGCAACCACTGCTCGCAGAAAGGGTTGAATTTAAAGAAACTTAAAGAAATAATTTAAAGAAACTTATTCTATATACACAGCTATCTTCTAAGCGGGCCTAAGCAATCTGATGTATGAAAATCTGTCTCAAAAATATTCAAGAAAGAAGTGATACTTATTCACTTCGTAACCTCTACTGCCTCTGATTCTCTCATGTACGTACATATGTAATATGTACTATTAAATCTGGAGAAAGAAATGTTTTTTAATCACCAGACCATTCTATTAGCTCTATTTTCTCAGATAAGGAAACATTCAAAGCATTCTCAAGAAACAGGTACTATATATTCATCACACTCCTTCTGTCAGTCTATGTATTCTCAGGTATTGAAATACTCACATTACAAGAAAGTAGTGCTGTGTATTTTTAACATACCTGTCATTAACATATCTTAATGAATAATTTAACATGCCGGAATATTAATACATCTTCTGAAGTAGAGAACTAGACTATCAAAGAAAAGCTCAAAATGGAATGCTTCGAATTCACCCCAATCTCTCTATCGGACACGCTTGAAGTTCAGTAACGTACTACACACTGAAGCACAACGTAGCGGTTGTCTACCTCGCACCCCCAATCAATTGTGTAATGAATACGTTCGTTTGATGAATGCGGATAGGGACTATGTGTGCTGCCGGCTAACAGGGGGAGAACAGATCACGTGATCGGATCCCACTCCTCGCGCGCTCTCTCGCCACTCGCTTTGCGAAATGGCCGCCGGATCCTGCGATCGAAGAACGCCGGAGTGAACTGGTAATTGAGAAATTAGGCAAGTTGCACGCAAACCCGAAGATCGCGCTAGAAGCAGAGTGGGAGATTTATTGAGTCCTATAGAATCCGAGCTATGGGGTGAAATGGCGCAGTTTGTCACCAACTTTAGAAACCATGCAAGTAGTACATTTTCCAAGGTTTGTATATGGTATAACGAAACTTAACACAAGGCATATCATACATAATAAAATATAACAAAAATCTCGTTCTTTTAGTACTGCTCAAAAGCTGGAACGATAATGTAATTATCGTCACATATTACAGAGTTCTTCGATATTTTCTATGTAACTAAATTGTTCAACTAACATGTGTAATTATATGTTGTAAATTGAATTTTGCTCTGTACAAAAATAGTATACATTTAAAATCGCCAATTTTTGTTGTGTCACATTTCTATGTGACATGCGAATTACTAACAATTTATTAGTACATTAAAACATGCTGAAGGCTAAAGTTAAAGTGGGCACTGTTTTAAGAGTCTACGGGATGCTGGGTCTATTATTATTTCGATATTATCCAGTGACAAAAGTAAAAAAAAGATGCAAAGAATAGGAACAGAAATAAATATCTTAAAGAGTATTGGCGGAATTTGCAGACCAGTAGTAGTTCATTCGAGGAATATAGTTATTAGACGTGAATTAGCAATAAAGTTAGTGGGAGAAACCATTATAAATGTGACAAAATTTGCTCGAGCGTTTGCGCCAAATGTATTAAGAAGAAACAGAGAGCAGACATGCGAAATGTCGAGGCTTTAACTATCACATTTACAAACGTTTGTTCCCGTGCGAATAACTCAAATCAAAAAGTGATGCTGATTTTTCTGCCCATCGCTTAATTCTCCTTCGTGCGGACGAGAAGAAAACTAATGCTATAAGTTGATATGAGATTATAACAAAATAGAAACAATTATCGTTTCAGTCTTTATTCTTGGGAAGAGTGCGAAGTCACTCCAAAATACACACAAATAAATTCAAAAAATCCTGGGCGACGCCTCCCAGTTGACTCCCATGAATCACACAATCCAAAATTCCTTATTTTACGTGGCGTGGCTCATACGCATACGTTTAGGCCTGTTGTTATTCCTGTCCACGCAAATTTGGATACGCAACCATCTACGAATAGCAGGGAAAGACGGTACCACTCGACCGACGAGCCAGGCGATTTGAATTTAGCTAATAGGTTTCTTTTAAGCTTCAGGATCTTTCACGAGCAGTAAATCTACAGCATGGGACAGCCAGCTTGTAATTTCCTTCCAAAGGAAAGTCTACGAAGGTTTTTTGCTCTTAAAAATTCTTCTTTGGGTAAACCCGAGAAGAACCGGATATGACAATGTGATACACCACGACGTGTTACACCTCGGAAGCCGCAATATCAGGGAACTCCGTGTACATATGTGATCTAAAGTACCCGCACACGTGGCTGAAAATGACTCACTAATTCATGGCGCTCTTTATTGGTAATGCTGGAATTCAATAGGGTGTTGGCGTACACTTAGCCTTGATGACAGCTTCCACTCTCGCAGGCATACTTTCAATCAGGAGCTGAAAGGTTTCTTGGAGAATGGCAGCCCATTCCTCACGGAGTGCTGCACTAAGAAGTGGTATCGATGTAGGTCGGTGAGACCTGGCACGAAACATCCCATCAATAGGATTCAAATCAGAACTCTGTGCAAGACAATCCATTACAGGGATGATATTGTCGTGTAACCACTCCGCCCCAGGCCGTGCAGCATGAGCAGGTGTTCGATCATGTTGAAAGATGCTATCACCATCCCCGAATTGCTCTCCAACAGTGGGAAGCAAGAAGGTGTTTAAAACATCAACGTAGGCCTTTGGCGTGATAGTGCCACACAAAACCACAATGGGTGCAAGCCCCCTCCATGAAAAACACTACCCCACCATAATACCATGTTGGACGTGTCCGGATACTTTGATCACATAATGTAGGTTTGGGTGGCGAGGGGCGGTTTTCCTTTTCTGCAGCGCAACCTGACACCAGGGGTCGGGGGCGGCAGAGCCGGCGGGCGGCAGAGGTATTGAGCATCGTTAAACCGCCCCCCTCGCACACCCTCGTGTGGGCGGCAGCCGCGTGTGCAGCGACGGGCAGGCAGGGGGAAAGGCCAGCAATCGTCGGGCTCGCTGGTAAACAAGGGGGGACGGCGCGACCAACGGAGACGAGGATGATGAGAGATGTGGCAGGGAGGAGGGTGGGAGGGTGAGGCTGAAGGAGAAAGGCAATAAATTACAAGGAGAAAGAGAGAGAGAGAGAGAGAGAGAGAGAGGGGGGGGGTTAGAAATACACAGAGAGAGAGAGGTAGAAATGCAGAGAGAAATACAGAGAGAGAGAGAGCAAGAGAGAAATACTGAGAGAGAGAGAGAGAGAGGTATAAATACAGAGAGAGAGAAATATGAAGAAATAGAGAAATAAAGAAATACAGGGAGAACAGAATAGAGAGAAAAGAGATTCTGAATAGATAGGGAAGTAGAACGTAGAGAAGTAGTGATTGAAAGAGATATGAAGAAAACAGGAGGAGGAGGGGAAGATGAAAGCAAATTGGATGAAGAGGGTCGGAGAGACGAAGATAAGGGTAGAAGACAATAGAAAAAAGAAAAGAGGAGGCAGGAATATACGGAAAGAGAAGGCAAGGGCCAGAAGGGACAAAGAAGAAGCGGAAGGAAGATGATGAGCAGAGGATAGAAAAGGGAAGAAGTAAAGAGCAGGTGCAGGATGGGAGGAAGTCAGGGAGAAAAGGGAGAAGGAAAGAAGGGGATAAAGAAGCAAGAAAAGATGCTGAAGAGGAGTGTGGGAAAGAGAAGGAGAAATTCGTCGAGGAAGGAGGGATTCTGGGAGGGACATAAAAGGGAGAGAGATACATCGGAAGGTGGAGGGAGGTCTTGATGGAGTGAGATGGTGGAAGGGGGGGGGGCGAGGTTCAACGATGTGGAGATTGGAGTCCGCCCGAGGTTTTATTAACTTCGTGTAAACAGTCGCTTTGTCCTTGTTATGGGGCCGTACGCCCTTCAGCGTAGGAGCGGAATGCTTTCCGTTGAATAGTGATTTGTAGAACGCAATGTTTTCTCCTTTACTTTTCCCACCTCGGGCAGTTTCACAAAATTTACTACGAAAATGTTTCAAGGTCAAATGTAAGCAAGGAATGCGAATTGAAATTGTGAGTAATAAATCTACTAATCAACCAGTACGTAACTGAAAATTATACTGAGTTGCAACATTTTTATGAGTTCCCTAAAAAACAAGTTAAATTTTAAGTTACAATATTTCTCGAGTAGTAACATATTTTTCATATAGAGTGAGAAAAGTATCGGCATTACTATCTAATACACTTTGGCTTTCATTTAAATAATTTTATTGCAATACTGGTTGAGTCTTGACCAATGCTGTTATAACCATTACATTTTTAACACGGTGTTTGAATGTGGAAAAACACTACGTAAATGTGTAAGACAGTTAATCTGTGGAATATTTACATCCAAAAATATTTTCGATTAATCACGTAGCTTCCATACATTGATACATACAATGATACTCATCTCTTTTAATAACGTTTTTCTCTTTTCAATGCACAATTGTTAGCAAACCAATTACGTTTTCGGTGCACCAATTTAAAACATTCAAGAGGCATGTCATTCTAATTTTAGATTACTTACTAATTTTGACAATTAACATTGAACAGAAATTGGGCAAAATTAATAATTCGATAACGTTCTAAGTGTTCATGTACATAAATATCCCGCATTATTACTCATTATGTCAAACAGACAATTCCTTTCGACCAATTTCAGCGCTTGCCTGTAAAAGTAGAATTATCAACAATTCACATCTTATTAAATGTTCATCGTACATTTCGTTACGCGTATGCAAACAGGATTCACAAGAGCACATTAAATATTATCACACATCGGGTATGCCTGCGTGAGATGCATTTTTTATCTCTAATAATTCGGTCGCAGACCGTTCCTAACCTACAGATCTAAACACGTCCTACGCAACGCAAAATCATTTGCAGTTACGCTGAGTTAATTGAGTTACTTTGAGTTTCACTCAATAATGCCGCCTTCAAATTTGAATTCGGTATTGTTTAATGCTGCAGGTGAACAATAACTTCGGAACGTATCTGAACAATTGTAATGGACATAACTCTTCTGAAGAATTCTATATAATTAACTTTTTATCAATGATGGCTTTCAGGGCATAGAGAGGGAGGTACTTGTGCATTGTATATCACTAGTGCTAAAGAGACACGGTGCGTAAATGATCAGCGAATCGCAAAATATAAACACAAATTTACCAGTAGCATCATAAATAGCTAGTTTTTCATGGCATTATAACACTTTCCAAGTAGAATTACTTAAAACTTCACATAACTTGTTAAACCACCGAGCGAATTGCCCCGGACGTAGCACGCTGACTTCGCATTCGGGAGGTCCAGGTTCAAAACACATGCCAGCCACCCTGACCAGGATTTTCGATGTGTCCCTGGGTCATCCAGACGAATGAAGACAATGCTTGGATGGTTCTACTGCAAGGCCAAGACCGCGTAAACCGTAGACGCTAACCAAATTCGTTAACTACGTGAAGTCACGAAGGCTAAGCGAATTCCAGATATCGCGGATTCCTGATTGGGTAACCAATTGGACATCACGGGTTCTCACGGCGCTTAGGCCAATTGTCCCTTACGGGACGCATAATGGCTCAATCCAAATACCATGTCAATCCACATATAGATTATGTTATTCCCTAGAGACCGGGGCAACCTCGACGGGATCATACTGAGCTTTGATTCGCTCGCACAACTCCTAGCTTCCTCCTTTTTTTCTGGCAACCTTGATTTCATCCGCCCTCTCGAAGTGCAGCCTCTCCCGGCCACACTAGATTAGCCTCCCCAAACACGCTTCATCGTTGAAATGAGTAAACCGAGAGAGGTAGCTCAAGGCATCAATTGACGTCACTGCAGTGCCTCTGATCTGGAGGTCTTAGGTTCGGGTCCCGATGGTGGCAGTATTTTCGACACAGCCCAGAAAGCTTGGTCGAATTCAGTCGTTCTCTGTCTGGAGGAGAATTCAAGCGGCCGGCTGCTCTGATCGGTAATTTCGGGTGATTTTCCGTAGGTTTCTCCGATGAATACCAGGCCAAAACCGGAGGAATACCCTAACAAACGGGTCAAGGACCGCACGCGATCTTTCTTTCCTCTTCCTTGTCCTATCCTCACCTCTTACTTACAAACACTTACAGTAAAATGCACTACACGATCGCACATGTCGGGAGGCCAGGCGGAAACTTAGCCGCTTCCATCTGGGGCGGGGGCTTGTAGGAGATACCTGGTTGGGGAAACCCTTTATCCGACCGTACTTTGCACCGAATCTCACTATCCATCGGGGGTAAATCACCGTCACCTATCGAATAAGATACATGCACTGCACTAACGGGACTAATTACTATTGCAGTTTACACTCCCGGAATCTCTAACAATCAATAATTCAATAAATCAGCAGTAGCCCTCACCAAGAGAGGCATAATAGATTAACCTCACAAATACGTATCATCTTTCAAATAAGTAACCTTTACTGAAGAAAACTACTCAGGGAATTTTATACCCAAAACATTATTTCATTTCTGCATTATTAACAGTGTAAAGTTAATATATTTTTGAAAATAAGTATTTACGAAGCGAATGGTAAAATGACATTTTATAATGCGAATATGATATGTGGCAACTCGAGGCCGATACGGCAGTGTAGCGCCATCGTATAAGCAAAATAAAATCACTTTTAACTGGTGTGTCACGCACAATAGAAGCCTTACTGACTTTCAAGACACTATCGTTTGCAATAGTGGCTGGCAGCCTTTACTGATTTAGACAGTCTTACGGACATTCATTGCATTTAATTGCCTAATTTTCATTTATATCAAAAGCCTAAAAATCATTATGTTACATTGTGGTCAGTATTGGCTGAGGCGATTACATGAAAGTATTTTGTTTGCTTTGTTGCATTCACAGTTTTAACTGCGCATTTCAGCATCGTCTAACTTTTATAACTAGTGATAAAAATTGCGCTCTGCATGCCATAAAAGTAATCGTTTTTAGCAGGGTTGTCTAAAAAATAATATTCGCAACACGGTGATCGTTAAACCATTCTTGTCGTATAGCATTACATTAAACCACATGAGTAGCACCTTAAGCCATGGATGTAGCAACACTGGAAGTGTGGCATACTAGGAAAATGAAATAAAACGCAATATTAAAGCATTCATATCATTAAACAGGGTGTGCGACAACTTTGAGGTTTCCCGTAGGAGCAGTGCCGGATCTAGCTGTGTCACTGTGCATCGACAAGCCCGGCCAATCGCCGGTATATTTCTCTAAGATGTCAGCCGACTGACTCCGTCCACGCGAGACACATCTTAGCCTCACCCATCCCTCTCATCGTTCGAATGAGTGACCGACATTGGTGGCTTACGGCACCAATTGATGTTACTGCAGTGTTTCCAATCGGGAGTTCATAGGGTTTCTGACGATGGCAGGATTTTAAACAATAAGCCAGATAGTCCGATCGAGTTCATCCGCTGTTTGGAGAAGAATTCTATCGGCTGGCTGCTCTGATCGGTAACTTCCTGAGCTGCCTCCGATCAACACCAGGCGAATGTCTTTCATGGTGCACAGGGACCGCGCGCGATCTTTCCTTCCTTTCCTTTGTTCAATTCTCATCCCTTACTCACAGACACTTTGACTTTTTTATGCACTAGACTACCATATATGCCTGGCGACCAGTCGTGAGTTAGCTTGTTCCGACATGGTCCGTGCCCCGCTAGTGGGAGACGACTAGTTGAGGAAAAACCCGAAAACCGATGTGTAGTTTGGTGCTGGATCTCGAATCAAGTGGGGACCACTGCTACCTCTCGCAATAAAAGGTTGCACTGCACTTACGGGACGAATTACTGAAGCAGTTGAGATGCAAAGAAACACTAATCAATCCATCGAATAAGTGTAAGCTTTCTCGAATGGCATGGTATGGTATGACATGTCATTATAATAGCTTCTTATGCTAACTACTGTGCATAACGGTCATTTTTAAGAACAAATTTAGATCATATAACAATTTAATTTCCGTGTCGGGCAAATTTTCCCCGTATTATCCTGTTTCATACAACAAAACCTACCTTTAAACACCATGTACGACGATATTGGATGATGTCCTCCCCTAGGAGCAGTGCCATTCCCAGCGGGGTCACTCAGCCACGACCCCTCCCGGCCAATTCCTCGCGCACCTCCCCTCCCCAAGCCGTTGTCTCCCGATTGCCTCCGTCCACGCGGGGCGGGACTTCCCCTAGGCAGCGGCGTCGGATTAAAATTGGAAAGGCGATAGCGGCACGTGACCCGCGCGGGCGACAAGGGCGCGCCCAGCGGCGATTGCGCGCGCTCGGCAGCTAATGGAATGGAAAAGTCTCCGCGACCGAGATTGAGGGGGGCGCTGGAGATTAGGTTCTGGCCGAGGACGAACCGGGAGATACGGGCCTCCGATTGCTGGTTTGCAGACACGCTCGGATGAGGTTGAACGGCGAAGACGTTGAGGTACGTCAAGCGAACTCCTGTCGATCGTAAAAGAAGTATTTTTGTGCGGTAGAACGAACACAAAACAGGATTATACGGATTATTTTACGTTTATTCGTTTTCACCTAACGCTCAAAATACTTAAACTTAACGGTTGACGCTGACAATTTAAACACTGGACCGCTAAATCTGTGGTGGACCAACAGTGTAATTTCAAATTCCGGTGCTACGAGCTTAACAAAAAAACGCATGTTCGTATCGATTCGTAATAACATTTTTTTCAAATGAGAATAAGAAAAAATTAAGAGGTTTCTTACATTTAACCTCAAACACTTATTGCTTATATAATGATTAAATCTAAACACTTTTACATTGTTTGATACAAAAACATTAAAAATAGACGTATGAAGGTTTATTTTAAAAGTTAACTCCTCGGTAGCGCCACATAGTGCAAAAGAGAGTGGGTCGATGCTCGAATGTTTAGTTAAAACTATGAATACAACAAAGAAAACAATGTACTTTCGTCTGATCTCAACAGCTAATAGTGGCTATAATGTAATGCAAGGACTTTTAGACATCAATTCAAATAAATTAAAAGTCAATAGGGCTTTCATTCTGGCTGTCACTATTGTGAAAGTCAGTAAGACTGGCATTATTATGCATGACACACGTGGTCAAAGTGGTTTTATTTTGCTCGTAGGATGTCACCACTCGGCCTATCAGCCTCGAGCCACATGTCCAATTTGCATAGTAAAATTCGCTTAATAAAATGCAATTATACCACTCAAATCATAAATATTTATTTAGAAAAACGTAATTAAGTTAACAGAAAAACAACGAAAACAACAGTGTTGCAACAAAACACAGTGTTATCTGACCATTTGAGCATCGACCTACTTTTAGCACTAGTGCTAAATATTGGGATTTTAGATGTCTGTGAATGTTCTAAACAAAATGTAATCGATTTTACTAGCATCTATCTAAAATAACAATTGTTCAACAGTTTGCGTACACAATTGGTCAAAGTGTTGTGCGTTGACGCGCGGGTGGTAGATATCCGGTTGTGGGAAACCCCTTTAGCCGACAGTAGATCAGCGCCAGATCTCACCATCCAGCGGAGAAAGATCACCGCCACCTCCCGTGACAAAACATGCACTACACTTACGGAACTAATGACATCAGTTGACGCACCAAGAATCGCAAACAAATCAAAAACAAACGGAAAATGGCTGAGGGATAGCGTAAATGTGTTGATGGTCATAAAGCATACGGAAATAACGGAAGCATTACGTGGAGTGTGCTAACTAATTTTCAGCATATACGCGGTGCAAAAATAGTCAGTGTTTTTGTTCCTTTATCGAACGATATACACTGTCATTAGAATTGTTCCATAAAGTGCAGTGACCCACGTGAATTAATATCACCAGGAGCGAATGCTATTCTAAGGTGAATAATGACAAAACGAGCAATTTTGCGCGTAAATCACACCATTTGTGGTCGGATCGGGCAACGAAGAGGACATTTTATCTTTTTTTCTTCTTCTTCTTTTTATTATTATTATTATTATTATTATTATTATTATTATTATTATTATTCAAAAGAACAAAAAACGTGATGATTATGAATATGGAAAGCCCGTTTAGCGCGTAGCAAAGTAATCTCGTCGTTTACTACGTTCAAATATGACAAACTGAGATATTATTTATCTCACAAAGCACAATATGGTGAATATGTATTTCAGTATCCTATTCGAAAGCGTTTTTTTAAAAATACTTGAGGCTCGAAAGTTAGTGAAAATATTTTCTTGGTAAATGCATCAAATTAATATTCGTAAATTATTTTTCGGGAGGAAGCACGTATGCTTGACATAACTCCTATTTAATTGTAATTATTCCTTTTCTAAAAATGTTTATAAGGTTCAAATAAGCAATACGAAGAGTGAATTAAGAAGCATCATCATTTTAGCGCAAATTTTAGTATTTTAGTAAATAGAGACTAACAGACATCTTGAAGAATTTTAGTAGATAATCTCTGAGAAACATTTAATTTAAAGTGTATTACACCAAATTCGTTGTTTGCTCCAGCACTCTCCAGCGCCAGCATCCAGTAAATAAGGACTTTTGTACAAAAAGAAATGTCATTATATAAAATGTTACAAAATGAAGGAATCAATAATTCGATGATATTGGTTTCCAAAAGCTTACTGAAATAGAGCCGCATGCTAGAAAGAACAAAAAAAATCACTTTCTGCACATGTATTCTTCCCAAGTGAGCAACGTAACAAATATTTTATTTTACCACTTTTATGTTTTCCAGTTGACTGCTACTTCATTATTTTTACGCTAGTTACACTTGAATAAAAACAGTCATTAACATTCAGATCATTAATTAATGCACGTGTGATATTTGTTGATAATTGAATGTGATGTTCACATATCTGGACAATGAAAAGGTAACATTCCCATATATGTTTCCATATATTTTCAGATAAAATCACAACAGAAGAGACAGTTGTTACGTGAATAAGGTAAAGAAAACTTAAATTTTATGCGAAAGAATGAAAAACTGATGTATTATTCTGTTAGGGAAATAATATTTTCCCCCTAATATAAAATACAAGTTTTACCTTTCAACATAAGCAAATTGCCATCATATCTGGAATGCTACGGCTAACAGTTTACATTTGAAAAATATATATTTTAAGTAGGTTAAATATGTCAATAACGCGCTGTTAAAGATTTATATATCACCTTTGTTTATTAGATATTTTAATTTACTATCATGGGAACTTCGTTTGTAGTGCAGCAAACTATTTGTATGGAAGTTAACGAAAATTGTCATTTTGAATTTGAATAAAAATAAAATATTATTCTCGACGATAAAATATACGTTACCTAAGCGATAAAGATATCTTCCTCTAGAAGACAAAATATCTCTTCCTCGTCTTGTGGTGAAAATAGGAGGCAGATTTTTATGGCCTAACACTTATCAAAAAATGATCGATAAATTCTCATAAAATGCTTTAAAAAAGCCCTAAAACAAAGAAAAGTAACGTAAAAAATTGATCACAATAACTTCAGATGAACAAGCTATTCGGTATGTTACTGATGTAATCGAGGCTTCTTCCTTTTGTTCAAGTGAACTCAGAATGCGAACTTTTGGTTTGGACAATCCTTTAAAAGAAAATCTCTTCCTTTATTTATCGCGAAATCGACCGAACTGACAATGGTGCCGATTGGCGTCACATGAATCTCAGATTCCATAGTACTCACAACGGCTGACATTACAATACATAATGGAAGAAATCGAATAGGCTACTCAGGAATCCTATTAAAATGGATGAAATCAGCGAAAAATGCACTAAAAATGACGTTGACGTAAAAAGTTATGAGTTATTAGTCAAAATCGACGAAAAATGCAGACAAAGACGTATAAAAATGAGTCATTTCATTTCATCTTAACATACAATAAATTTCTATACTAAACGACATTGCTCTAAAGTGAAAAGAAAAAAATGATATTTCATTAAAGTCCGCTAATTTAATCTCCAAATAAAACTACTGTGGTTTGCCCATAAACTGAAAATTAGAATAACGAAGGAAAAACACGCCATAACGAATGAAAATCACAATTTTGCGTAATATTATAGAACAGATAAGCAGAAGATGAACATTACGAGACTTTTTTTTACTTTGTGTGATGTATATCTTGTATAATTCTGTAAATATCAACGCGTGTATCTCTTCTGAGTACAGCACACGGACGCATATTTATTTTAACAATGGAAAAACTTAAAACTTCACGTGACCTGCGAGAAAAAGTTCTGAAATACATGCATTATTCTAAAATTCTAATACACCTGCTACAAGCCGTAAATATAAGAGTTCCTTCACTACCTTGCTAAAATTGTCAACTGTTATGAATAAATTTTTTTGTTCTTGTGCTCAAAACATTTAAAGAAATTATTCCTTTAGCCTTTAATCGGTTGTAATATTGTAGATGATCCTACCTGTTTTAACTGACGCAACAGCAAACACTAGCAGCATCTGCAAGACACGAGATGCAGTTCTCGCCATGATGACATTGGACTTGATGCTGGCCATCTTGCTTTCAGCGTTGTTTACACACAAGAACGTCACACAAACTATGTAGAAAATCCATTGCATCTCAACGAGAAAGACGCAGACATTACATCAGCAGTCAGCATGATTTAGAACCACTCGAGACATCAAGTAAAAGTAGCCTTTAAATCATACGTTCAGACTCAACAGATAAAAAATTAGTTCACCAATTATTTAGAACAACTCCATACGAAACATCGTCACAATTTCATAAAACACAATCAGCAAAGAGTTGACCAGATGAATACTTCTCGATTGAGAATCACGTAGAGGGTTAAGAATAATATCTATGAGTTTACGAATTGTTTACCATAATTCCACACAAAAAAAATCACTGCAATTCCACAAAACAACCACTACCGCGTCGTCCAAACAGCTGAACAGTTAATCTAGAACAACGAATAGTGGCTAACAAACATCTTGATCGTTTCACAAATTCATTGGAATAGTCCCACTCGAAATACAGTCGCAATTCCACAAAACGCAGCCAGCATCCATGTCCACCAAACAGCAACTCTGTCCACCAAATGGCAACTGGATTTTCCGAGACTATTCTTTCGAGGCGAAGCCCTCCGGTTGGCGAGACAGCGTTGGCACGAGATCGGAAACGTACGAGAGAGATGATATTGTTTTATTATAGACCTATGGCCTGCTTGGCTGGCGCCCGGCGGATCCTGGCAACGATGAAGAAAGCAGCAGATGCGGTCTCGGCGGCTATTGTTCGCTATGAAGATGCCCACTTCGCACAGCGGTCGATGGCGGTTTGTTTTTCCGGGTGTCGGGGTGAAGATTCGATATACATGCGCCTACCCTTTGCTGTCCAACTAGTTGTATACGTTCTTGTCAGTTTGAAAGATGGACTATTGTGTGTGTTCCTCGGGGAATTATTATTTTATCTTAATGTCTCATGCCTCGGTTGCTTTCACTAACTTATTTTGTTTAATGAGTTTCTCGTGTCACGTAGTTTAGTTTCGGCAATAATTTATTACAAGAAATTCTCCGTCGATTCAAACGTATTCAGTTTGCATAATCTTCTTTAAATGCTGCAACATTCTTTGGATGTTGTATATGTAGTCTCTGCAGTAAATTGATCCCGGCGTGTTGCAAAATAGAAATATATACAAAACTATGCTGTTATATGTCGGATTATTTGATGCGCTGTGAGATTGTGACCCTCATCATAAGTCCTTCTATATTTACGAAAGTAGAGTTCTTATATCGTAGTCATATCACCAATAAGTTTTTCTTGGACGAATAATATTTTTAGCCTCAGAGATACTTGCAGTTATTTATTTCTTCTAAGCTTAACTTTAAATTTAAAAGCCGGCGGAAACAAAGTGAACTTTTCCAGTCTACGTACAGCTGATGAAACCGTATTTGCGGCGAGTACCCTCAGAATTCCACGAACCACCAAACACTATTTCACAGTCAACCCCCTAGGAAGCCCACTGCGGACAATTTATCACAGCCCTCTTTGATGTATAGCCGTGCGCGGGGGTGTAAGTACAGCGGCCCGTCTAGCACGCAACGTCACGGACGTGCCTCGGCCCGCGTGACTCACGCATCTCCAGACGTGTTTCCTTCATCAACGTCCTCCCGGGGACGAAACGCAGAGCCGCACGTCCTCGCAACGGCACGGGAAGGTCGGGTCGACGCGTCGGTGAAACAGCGTCGAAACACTCGTTTCCGCGAAGAGTCGACCGCACACGCGCCTAACGGTGGCTGAAGGGTGACTCACGGCGATCACGGATGTGTGTGCGTATTGTCCGTCAATGCGCTACTGAGGGAACGAGATTTCCCGCGTTGAAGTAGCCGCAGCTCGATTCTTCATTGTCGAACGAGCGAGTGGCTGCAGTGGGAAGTCGAATATCATAGAGTAAGTGTAGCGCTGACAACGGTGTCCAACATTTGGACACTCTCCAGCGCTGGACGAGGGATTTGAGAAGCAGGACGACAGGCCTCAGGTAATCGACCGGTACTGGCAGCGTCACACAGGAAACCTGAGGACAAAAGAAATCGGGGTAATTCGTGTTTATTTGTATTTTTTTGCGAATCATCATAGGATCACTCCAACGTACAACTGCACCCAGCGAGGTCCAGTCATATTTTCCAGAGGGTAAGTGCGCGTGGCTTTTTTCGGGAGGGGGAGGTATCAGCATTTCCATGATGAATCTATTTTTTACACCTCAAGGTTGTTAGCACTGGCGGGGGGAAGAGAGGTATGAAATGATGATGAAGGATGAATGGAGAATTGCAAACATACATATATACACCAACATCCATCCCCCGGGCGGGATTGGAACTCGCGACCCTTCAGGTACGAGTGTTGCCATCCTCATGAAGAGAAAATTATGATGACACGGACTGAAAATAATCACGGAATATTGTGGTTTAATCAACGCCCCTACATAGTTCTATTTATGTGATATTGATGTAATTATCGATGACTCGATTGGGGGCGGGAAGTGCTCTATCCGTGAGTGACGTAACTGCACATTCAAACATACACACACTCAGGTGTTACTCAAATACTGTGTAAGGATTAGTGAAGACAGTTTTTGTTATAATATTTAATTCGTTTAAGTGTTATACGATATTAATTTAGCAAGGTACTTGAGCAGTATCCCTGCATCTTTTGGAAAATTATTTTGTGTGGATTTGTTCGGCAACATTTTTGCTTACTATAGATCACTACTATGAACTAATCTTCTAGAGTGAAGAGTTAATCTTCTAGAGACAGTTTATTTTAAGTTTATCAATAGTTTCCTATTAGTTTTATTGTAAGTAAACAGATAAATTGATTGACGATTTTAAGTTTTAAGACGATTTATTTGTGACGATTTTAAGAAATTCAGTATTTTAGAATTTTGTCGTAAAGACACATGAATCATCCTTCAGTAACTAGAAGAAATTAAACCTACCTGATTATTCAGGAATGTATTTTCAAAGAAATATATCTGATTGGTTTCAATGGTAAATCTTCATTTTAATTTTCTTTTACTACAAACTGTGAAAAGTGAAAATAATGAGTATAGAAATATCGTATTCACGAGTAATGTCTTTAGGAACTGAGAAGATAATGTAGCAGAACATTTGAATTTTCACACTTAAATAACATGTTTTTTCAAGGTACCCAACATTCACATGGTGATTTAGGATAAGTAATAACAGTCGCGTTTAAGAAATGGTTCCGATAGGGCACATATGCTATATTTTCATTTCAACTTACTTACTGTTGTTGCAATAGTGACGCATGCTGAAATTGAGTTACCTCACTGAACCGGGATAATAATTACTTTTCCATCCGTGCTGTCAGTTAGGGAGAATGTGAATTAAATGTTATTAACTCCCTAATATAATAAATTTAAAAAGTCCATTACCAGATTGTATTTCCAATGACCTAAAAATGACCTGCTACTTCAAATCCACTACATTTTCAATGATTGCTTAATTTCAGAACTCAATCTTTCACTTTTTCCGAGCATTTGTTCCGCCATTGCATAACAACTGCAGACCGTCACCCTTGGGGCTCCAATCCGGGATGGGGGAGATTGTAGGATACGCTGAAAGTAATGATGATGCGAATAGGAAGGTAAGAATGCGTCCGGTTCGCCGCCCTTTCTATAGGGGGCTTTCTATAAGAGTGATTAGAAAAACCGCGAAAATCACTGATCGCGAAACATTCCGACTAGGAATTCGATATCTGCAGGAGTCACGTACTCACTGACGACATTTCAAGAAAATGTCCGACTCCGTTATCTCCTCTGAAAACCTGGCACGCTAGATTTATAGATCGATTGGTGATTCCAGGTGCGTCAACTGCCAAGTTCGTAAGTCCCACATGTAATCCTGTGAAAAGAAGATTTATTTCCATTTTGGAGGCAATGTATTCCATTAATTAATTACTGATTACAGGAGCGTCAACTGCTGAGATCATTAGTTCCGTTAATGTACTGCAGTTATATTTCCCCACTGGCTGGCGAGATTCTGAGTCGATTTACGCCGGCTGGCGGTGTTTTCCTCAACCAGGTATCTCCCACCAGTTACCACCCCAGGTATCACCCCAATCGGGACAAGCTCTAAGCTCCTGACCAATCTCCCGGCATGTGTAGTGCGTGTAAGTGGAAATGTGTACAAAGGGGGAGAATAGGCAAGGAAGAGGAAGGAAAGATCACGTGCGGTCCGTGGCCGTTTCTTAGGATACTGATTCGGCAATCGCCTGGTGTTGATTGGAGAAAACACGGAAAACTACCGATCAAAGCAGCCGGCAACTAGAATTCTTCTACTCATAATACTATTTAACAAGTTTTTAACATAAAACCAATACAAGATAAGAAGAAGACAATAAGAAGACAAATGTAAACAGAAGAAGTGATGGTGAATACACTAGATGATGTGGGCATAAGAAATGCTATAAAATAACGGTCATAACTTAATTTGCATGTTTTGTGTTAGGACATTATTACAGTATTTGAACAAATTCTCTACCAAAGCTCATCCACTCTATTTGTGCAAAAGTTGGGAGCCTGAAAGCACATTTTTAAAGAACCAATTTCTGTAGACAACTTACAGATGATGAAAATTACAACAAATGTTGAATGTGTGTTGATGTTTCTTCACTTTTAAAGAACATAAGGCAAATAAAAAGTAAGAAAACAGGTAACACTTGGTAATAGGGAACATTATGTGAGTTTTGGTTCTACGCGACGTTTTGTCAGGTTACAAACCGTTGATTAAACAATTTATTTTACTTGCAGAACGAAAGGCACTTCCTTACCGACTTTGCTGACTAGTAGAAAGGAATATACTGCAACCTACAGTGGAGTGAAATAAATGTACCGTTTCTTCAAGAGTGCATGATATAATTGTCGAAATTGAAGAATACATTTTCAATTATGAAAACCTTTTATCTCCTAGTAAAGCGTTGAATTAAGTAATAAAACATTTTTCTCTTTCGAAAATAATTTAGTTCGATTGGTCTAAAGCAGAAATCAAATATTTCAATTGATATTCAGATTAATAACTTTCTCACCATACTTTATTGGAATGTGTGTGGTCATCACAATCTTGTTGGCGACAGGGCATTGTGGGCGATCAAAGTATAGAAACGTCATATTATACGTAATCTCTAGATCTTTGAAAACAGGAAGCGAACAAAGGCACGTGCCATTGCATTCCGTGCGTTCACGGTTACTTTGACCAAGGTCAAACGCAATCGCATGAAAATCGATTAGTTATTTCTCACGCGACGCGCGAGGAACACCGCACAGCTTGAAGGATAATAGCAAGGGTAGTAACGCATTTTAAATTACACTTTTACTCCCTCACTTGCGTTAGTGAAAAAGCACTGAAGTTTTCATGATTGCGCTACACTCACACACGTGCGATCTACACTCACACACGTGCGATCTACACTCACACACGTGCCGGCTACACTCGCACACGTGCGATCTACACTCACACACGTGCGATCTACACTCACACACGTGCCGGCTACACTCACACACGTGCGATCTACACTCACACACGTGCGATCTACAGCCGCACACGTGAGTATCACATATGCTGACTCTTACGACAAATCTAGTCTTTGCGAGATGGAAAAAAACATTAGTACTTACAATAGTTCCATTTAAAATTTTATTTCCATCTGTTCGACAAGGATTGTATTTCAGCAATGATTACAAATCGCAATATAATTGGTTTTAACATTTTAGGAGTAAGCTGTCAAGATTGCCATTATTGCTGCTGATTTAAGTTTTGGAGAACCTTATTTGAAATATGGTCAGAACTAGACGCATTTTTGGCTTTAACAATAAACGCGTTTTGAGAAGAAAGGAATAAAGTTGTTTATTGAGGGAAGTGTTGAACTGATGTTAATAATTGTATCAATAACATTCTTGCTAAATTCGGAATCTGTGAAAACATGTGCACAATAACATATGAATTCAAAACTATAATGTACCGTGAACTGTAGAATAATACACAATTCTCTCATTTCCATTTTATGCCCATACTATATTGTTTTCTTCAAGACTTTCTTTATCCTTAGTCATTTGTAATTTAGACGCGTTTTCACCAATCATTATCAATGCATTCGCCCAGCATAACCAACTGACAGAAAGAAAAATTTCACAGAGACGCTGAGAATTGCACCTTTCTGACTTTACAAAATATGAAGGGTTTTTTTTTTTTTTTTTTTTTTTGTTTTAGAGACAAAAACGCACGTGTCAAGATATTCATAGTCAGAATGCAACACGGTACACTGGGCTGGGTTAGCTATATTAGCCCCAGGGCTTGATTTCTGGCAGGAACGAGATCGGAAACAGGCCGTTGCTAGGTACTTCGAAAATAATTATTGAATATAGTATATATAAGTATATAAGTGTTTCTTTAATTAATAACTAATGTCAGGCCCGTTACGGACAAAAGTTTACAAATCCAAGCTCTATGTAACATACTATAGTTAAAGATAACTCACTAAACCATGGAGGGAGGGGTAAAATCCTGAGCATTAAATAATCAGAATTGAGACCAAGAATCATGGTTTCAGAACGTACTCTGACAGGATGGAGACCTTAGATTTTGCTGGTCTCTGCGCTTATCGATACCCCATCTGTTCAGAGACGTGCAGAAATAAATATTTCTTTTAGAAAAAATGTTGCGCGTAACTTCAGTTTAAAGCCTCGGATATAATTAAAAAGATAGATTTCAACAAGCGCTACCGTGTGTTGCGGGTTGCCTTTGATGTGAGATATGAGAATGATTATTTAAACAAAAACTACCGTTTCGACTCTTCTCAAAATTGCACCCATTCTCAGTCGTGCAATTATCTCGTTTTTAGTGTTGCTTTTTATCAAAGTGGCGTTTGGTCGTGTTCAACATGCCTGCAAACTGCTGCTACACTTCTGGTCCCAAACTTATATAGCCACGATATGGGATCACTGCTATAGGGTCGAGTGAAATTCAGCTTTGTAATTTACAATTCGCAATCTGATCA